TTTGATATTTATTTTGATCTATTTTGAATTGCGTGACACTGAAAACCAGCAATTGTTGGCCGCGCGGGGCGTGGTGCGACCTACCTGAAATATAGATGAAAATAGAAACGTAACTTAGAACAAGAACGGTGCTTGGCCGCAAGGGGAGCGACGAATTACTATTTTTGTCGCAGTTGCACGTTTTTGGGCGGAGTTATTCTTTGTTCGTTCGAATTTGCCAAGTGCATGTTCGTACGTTACTATTATGTCGTAATCATTTGTTCATAATCTTCATCCAGTGCGCGAGTGGCCTTCAAGCTGGTCTGGACGCAGCCTCTGGACACTGGAACATATTAACCACTTTTAAATGCCATTACCGTCCAACAAATGTAACCATGTAGCTCGACATGCAAGGTTTAAAAAAAAGGCTTAAGTACAAATTCACAACGTCTTGCTCGGCGCTCTTCCCTGTGATATTCGATCGAATCGCACGCGCGTTCAAGCTCATCATAAATTATTATTCATGACGTAATATAAAACTCTGTATTAAAAATCAGAACTTTATGACGTAATTTCCAGCTGGCAGTTACTAAGATCTTTAACGTCCTTCTCCAGAGGAGGCCAAACTACCACCATCTACTGGATTCGCGTCTGTAATGATAAGCTTGTTGGGAAAATGGATTTACGCTCCAGAGGACAACATAAATTCAAGCCAGGAATGCTTCATTGTCGAGTCCGAGGAGGGAGATTGGCTGCTGGTTGATGTGGAACTGACAGACGAAGACACAGTAATCTTGAACGATTATGTGGTCGTGGATGAGCGCATTTTCCGGCGCAAGATTGGTGAAGTAAAACCTTTATCGATTGAGGAAGCCAGTGAGGGGAATATCAAAAAATCTCAAAAATACTTCCACGGTAAAATGATCTCTCGCGTACTTCCAAGAAAGATGGTGCAACCTTATAAGATCGTGCGGCCCTTGAAGTATAAGATTCCCGCGGGCGAGTTGTGGGATACGGAGCGATTACAGGAGAAGAATTCCTGGTTAGAAATGTTGTCTATGAAAGTACCGCGACCTCTTGGCACGTTGGGAAATATTCCAACTTTGCGCTTTAAAGTTAAAAGGTAAATATCACCCGTACCCCCTCCCACGGGTTTCAACTTACCTTCCCCCTCCACGGCTACTGAAACTCAATAATATTTAGAAAACACCTTATAAGAAAGCGTGTCCTAAATTAAAAAGGCACTTCTATTTAACAATTAGATTATGAGCTCGAGATTGTGTGTGCCCTCGTCAACTATTAAACAATTAGATTATGAGCTCGAGTCAACTGTCACGCATAGAAATCGAGAGCGAATAATCTTACAAATCTACTAGTCGTTCAAAACTTTATCTGATCCTCTTCAGAGACATTTCGAAAACGCCAAAAAGCGGCCGTCATTTTGTTAGCAAGGGCACACTGCTACGCTACTCACTATCTATCACAGAATAGATAGCGAGTAGCGTAGCCAATACTAATACGCGATAGAAACCTCGAGGTCATAATTTAATTGTTTTAGTATAGAACTACCAGTTAAAAAGTTAAAACTTTATCTGAATCCCCTTCACAGACACTTTGAAAGGGCAAAGAAGCAGCCTCCATTTTGCTAACAACCACACACAACAGAATAGATAGCGAGTAGCATAGCCAGTAATGAGCGTCATTCGTGATAGAACCCTATTAAATTCATAACAATAGTCATGTCATTTCATGTCCTATTCAGTCTTGATTTACCAAGCGTGCAAGGAATGCAAATGATAAGGAGTGAGCCGACCATCAAGTCAGTAAACCCACAGCCCAAGCATGTGTTCGTGGACGACCTATGCAGGTCTGTCGTCCAATTCGAGCCTTCACCTGTGAAAAAGCTGTTGTGGGACCTTGCTAACATCAAACGGAAACGAGCTTTTGAGTTTGTGGCGGGAATTGACGAAGACTCTGGGAAACTACCAGTGTGCATGACTCTGAGCGATGATCACGTGTACGACTTGGTAAAGCTGTCAATCAGGAAAAGACGCAAGTTCAACGCGGTCGCGAAAACCACTCAGTCGCAGGAGTCAGCCATTGTTGATCAAGCTTGTCTTGAGCCCACGCACACCCCCGAGCCTCTGCTAGCATTAGAATGGCACACAGGACAACCAGAGGACTGGCCAGCGGAATTTCAAGCAGATGAATCGGACGAGGTCGACGACAAGTGGTTTACAAGGCCCGCTATCTCTGCGATCAGCGACATCTGTGAAAGGACTTCTCAGCTGACCACACAGCTGCGACACCAGGTACCAAGAGCCGCAATGTTCCTGTGGGCGCAGATTCTGCAGCTGTTGTCCTGTAGTAAAAACCTCCTTTCTGTGGAAAACTCCGAAGATCAAGGGCGTCGTAGTGCGCTATTTCGTGAACCTACACGGGGCTGTTACTTGAGTGTCTGCTGCAAGGACTTCAGCGAGGAAAGAAGCCGCGCTTTGGCGGAGAAAAAGACAAAACGACAAGACACCAAGAAAAACTTGAGGCGCGCACATGGGGCGCTCACTCAAAAGTACCACGACAGCACCAACAGAAAGAGGGCAATGGATTCTAAGCGGTTCCATCGAGGTTGCGGAAGAAAAGGGTGCTAGTTTCTCTGGTCTGTTACGAGAAACTGCTCCTACTGTCCTCGCCGAAAACTCTGTCGCACTATGGCCACGCGTCTCTAGCTTAACGTTTCCAACCCTGAAGAAACGCTGAACGCCATCATCCAATAAATCTTTCCTAAACTGACCTTATCAGCATTCTCTGCTCTGCAATCTCACCTTCGTTTCCAATTTAGCTGCAAACCGTGAATAGAAAAATCAAACTGTCGTCGAAAACTAACAAACTTTTATAGACGCGCTTTAGCCATAGCAGCACTCTAAGCGGAAACACGCCCTCTGATCACACACGTGTTGACTTTACACAACCTTTGTTGTCGCAGACACGTGTGTACGCAGTTCTCAACAAATTCGTATATCATCCAAACCAAACGTTTCTAACATCTAATGCAGCTAATCAAAGTGCTATTTCCATTAGACGCGATAAAGCCCTCTTGACAAGATTACTGTCTTCGAGTTATCTCCATCGCCGAACAAATGAAAATAAAGAAATAAACCCACGACAAATTATCGAAGTCTCTCTTATCTATTAAATTCGTTATATTCTCCCCAGAATCCATGGAAAATGCGAACTCCGTCTCAAACACGGCGCGCATTTAAAAACACGCCAACTGTAATTCTTCTCCATCTTTGCAAACATCAACACTACATGTTCCTTTTGAACGCATCAAATGTTTTCCGTCCGCACTACGCCGGAGATTTCGTACACGCAACAATTACCGGCGATTTTGGATTTGTGTCTGAAATCTCGGGCAGGAGGATATGATTAGCGCGATGTCATAGTTTTCGAAACGCTCCGTTTTCAAAATGTTTTCCGTCCACACGAAAACGCAAAGTCGGCGTTTTCAAATTTCTCCGGCTTGAAGAGCGCTTTTGAACAGCTCCGTTTTCGTGACGGATTAGTGTAGACAGTAGGCCTAACCGTACAAATAAGTGATTTCTCCGACGAAGTGTTGACGAGGCATAACTTTATGACCTCTTTACTGTTAAAAAATTTCAGTATAGTAAATAAGTAATTTGAGGTTTGCTTGTTTGTCTTTAGGTTATTTTGTTCGTCGTAATAACATAAAGACTCTGACGATCGGCACACGACACCAGGAGCTGGTCAATCAAAATGACTTCAACGTCGCCGCATTTTCATTACGTTTCTGAATTAAAAATACCTTTTTTGCTTGATAGATCGATAGATGAGTTGTACAAAAAAGACTGACAGAAACAGTGAGCTTCCTGCTTTCCTCTTGATTTCAGTTGATAATCACAGATAAATGTTCAATGTTATCGCAAAAAAAAAAAAAGAAAACAAACAAACAAAAAAACAAAAACAAAACAAATACAAAGAAACAAACAAACCAGTTAAAAAAGAAACAAAATCTACCACATTTCTTCCATGGTGTACACTTTGTTTAAACCTAATCGTACCTTTTCGGTACTCTTCAGTGGCATCCCAGGAGAGTTTGGTCAAGCCATGGTTCGTATTTTGGCTCGACTACGTCTCGCCAAAATACCCATGGCGAGACCAAACGAGTCTGATATACCACTGAAGAGTACCGAAAAGGTAGATTAGGTATTTACCGTACCCAAATTGGGCCAAGTGACCATGATGTCGTAGCCATGTCAAGTCATTGACTTGGTATCGCAAGATATCAGGAGAGTAGACACGGCTTCTGATTAGCTAATTGCGAATTTGGGTACGGTAATTGAATTGACCGTAGCACTACCGGCCCGAAGCTTATTGTTCCACTGGAGTCGTAACATTTTATGACGACATTTTAAACAAAACCTGCAATAAAACAGGTTACCGATGTGGTGAGTTTAAGGCCACTTATACAAGAAGACTTTTCACGTTTGGTTTCTTTAGGCTCTGAATTTACAATCTTATTGTTGATTAAGAGACAAACTGGATATTCTCAATTTCATAAACAATTGCTTTACAAAAAAAAAAAAAGAGAGAGAGAGAGAGAGAAATAGTATACTGTTCCACTGTTTTTATTTATTGCCTCCCAGATTCTCCATCATCAATTTCAGCTACATGCACAGACTGTAACAGCACTAGCGCTTTATGGCAGAGATAAACATCTCTATATCGCGAGTAGAACGTAAATTTCTTCATTAGATGGTTTGTTCAACAGGAGAGTTCAATTGTTCATGTCTGTTACAGACGATGTCCAAACCCCGGTGCAAACTTTCACATTCTTATTTACGCTTCATCTTTGTTTCCTCGCTCTTCAAGTAGCCGAAGCAATCTCTCTTCTTCCTCTTGAAGGATGTCCAGCTGAATTTCGTAGCTTTGTAATTTTTCGTCAATGATTGAGCTGTGAGTTCTGGTTGTAAGAAGCCGATACGCCCATTCCTGCCAGCCCTACCCGAAATAAAACAATGATAATGAAATAAGTACGAGCGTGGCAGGCCAACTTAAAAATACTTCAAGGCTGAAAATACCAAACGAATCTTCTTGAACACAGTTTCACGGTGAAAAAAATAACATGCTACGTATATATAAACAATAGCCTCCATTTCGCGAGAAAATATGCTTGGATATTTGTTCTTGGATATTATTTACCTGTACTCCTCAAAGGTCACAGTTTTCCTCGAGCTTGGCTCTCGGAAAACTGAGAGCTTTGAGGAACAGATAATGTCCAAGGAGTACATTTTCCCGCCAAAAAGAGGCTATTGTGTTTATTGTCCTTCACGTGTAGTTCTGAGAATTGGGGAGTAGCTGGGCATATTCAGTCACGTGACACGTTAAGACCAATCTCGCGTGAGCGAAAATATTTGATGGATTATTATTAGGGAAATTCATAAGTGTTCGGGTAATATTCGGGAAATCTTTCAAAAATGTCCGGGAATCTTCGGAATTTGTACCTCCTCGTAAACCTTAGCGTTAGCCACAAGTTCTGGGTAATGATATCTGATTGCTTCATCTAAAATCCATTGCTGGCATTTGTAAGCAGACCACTGACCTGAAAATTAAATGTTCTGAATTATTCATCTTTTTCAGCCAATGAAATAGACTGAAGCAGTTGAATATCAAGTTTTGAATCTCCTGCTTTTAAAAAAGACAAAGATGCACCATTTGCACAACCTTTTGTTCAGATCCAGCCTAGAACTAAGGCTGCGTTCCTTTGGGGTGATCTGGATCAGGATCAGTGATCCAAGACTCAGATCATGGTGCATTAAAGGAAGTGATGAATCCACTCTGGTCACGGATTCATCGGTTCCTTTGATGTAACATGATCCGGAGTAATCTTGGATCACTGATCCTGATCCAGATCACCTCAAAGGAACGCACCCTTAGTTCTAGGGTGGATCTGAA